GTCGTGCCTTGGCAGAAAGAGAGGCAACGTGACGTCACCCCATTAAAGTGAATGGGCAGACGCGTTGGAAACCGTTTTTGAAGCTGTCGAAGCTGTAGTGTGGACGGGCCGTTAAAGGTCGCTGCAGATTTGTGAGACAAACACATGTTTATTTATGTCGATGAGCGGTAACCTACCAAGTAGTCACACTGAGGTTGAAAGGCATGCGTTCCGCAGACATACAGCCGCTCATCGTCTACGACTTGCAGCACTCGAATGTAGTTTAGACAATCCTTCTGAAAGGCAAAGTTTAGGCGAAATAAAATGAAAACACAGATGTTTGATTGTAAACTGTGAATTTATAACACTTGACTATACTGTTCTGACTCCCTAATAAAATAACAAGATATTTTAACTAACCTCTTTTGATTTTCCTTTTAAAGTGCACATCACCATGGGGTTTTCTGCAACTGTCCACTCGACCTTGAAGTGTTAAAAAAGAACATAACAATTAGAAATGTTACAATTTTGGTTCCTTCTGTTGTCACATATACCATCCATATGTTGTTACCTTGTTGTTTTTAACCGTCACGTTCTTCTTGCTGAGCTCAAAGATGGCCTCCCGTGCTCCCACATACAGCGCGTCTCTTTTCTCGCTCAGCAACAGCGTGGAGTAGTTGAAGATCCCCGGCTCAGAAAACTCCATCAGATCTAAATCTGAGCACAAACATTACATTGCATTACTTGAACATTCATGTCAATGACCGATTTACTGAAGATAATCCACAAATAGTTTTGTTACATGTAGGAATGGTTTGCTTTCTACAGAACTACAACCGCTTAATGTATCATAAGGAAGCATCTTCTCAGACTATTTAACTAGATAGATAGAGTTACAATTCTGCTTCGAAGGACACCACTAATGTTTTCATCTCACGCCCGATAACCTAGGAGTCCATATGGAGAATTAGGCTTCTTTCTGCGAGGTGATACCATTTGCAGGGTTAGCTTGGTCGAAAGAAATTAGTTTGTCTATTAAACTGCTCACAACCAGATCTATGGATTGTCTTCAGTTAACCCGTCATGTTTTCAGGAACAAAAAAACAATGTTATTTTATTTCCAATGGTTTTTTTTGCTGCTTTGTGCAAGCCAAGCTCCATCTCAACCTATTACGTTGGAGAGAAAGCAGACATATTTGGGGGTGACTGTCCCTTTAAGTGCATTAGGTGTAAAACAATGTAAACAAAGGTGACGTATGTAGTCTGGAGATAAATCCACTATACACCAATTTTGATTACTGCGGATCCTGAGTCCTTAAAACTAGATGTGGTAAACGTGTTCCTGCCTCTCTCAGTGAGACACATGTATCTCTCTTTAGACTCAGTGTTGTGATTGATGACAAGGCCAGCGGAGCGCTTGTGTCTGGCTCTCTTCGGTTGTGCCAGGTGCAAGTGGCTTCGGGTTGCAGGTGCCTGGACATTAACACCAGGATGATGGAAGCAAACCCCCCCCCCACCACTGACTGACTGAAACGGTGACTGTGCCACGGTGAGCGGAGAAACTTTATTAAAAGGATGAGCTGTACTGGTTCTCAGTCTCTGGGGCTATTTATGTAAATGACAGTATGCAAACAGAACTTCCTCCCTGACGCCTAAATGCTACAACTTGAGACTTGTGGTGAGACTGAGGTTTATCTAAGATACATTTAATAGATCAGGTGTCCTCTAAATATTCAGTGTGACCTTTTAGTTGAAAGAGTTCTCACAGATATGTCTTAACAGTCTGAATGCTTGGCTCTCCATGCAGTGCTAGTGGAGCTAATTAACTTAGCATCAACATCTCCTGTTTCTTGTTTAAATAGTGTGTGAATAATAAAATATAATCTCAGAATGACAAGTATTGCTTCCCAAATGTAGCGCCTGTAGACTCTCGATGACTCAGGCTAAGTTTCAATTTGAATGATCAGAGGGGTTTCAAAAGAACATTTACCAGAAGTGGTTTGCATTTGTACAGATGCATTTAACTGTAAAGACAGAAAAACCTTTATGAATAACAAATACATTCATGATATATATTTGATAAGTTAATACAAATAATGTATTGATTAGAGAAGCAACATAAAACAAACCGCCATTTAAAAGATACCAGAGCCAAAACTGATGTCTTTATTGCATTAATGATTTTTCTCTATTATTTTTGGTATACTTATATCAGCAACATGTTTGGCACTTAAACATAATGAATGAAAACGGAATTGTCTTGTCTTAATACTTGTACTCTGTGCAATGACAAGAAAGTTGAATCTAAACTAAGTTATCAAAACTGCAAATATTCTGTTTCCATCATGTAGCACTTTGTCTGTTTAATCATTCAGAACGGTTACACTTCTTATCAATATAACGTGTATATTTAAGGCTTACCTTGGTGTCTCCAGGAGGTTCGAGGCACAGCGTTGGGTCCATGCGTGGAGACCTCGAGGAGAAGCCCCAGAAACACTCCCAGCACGCCGAATCCCATGTTAGACTCTGATAACTTCGGAACTGTGAAGTTTCCTCTGCAACACAAAAATAATAATAGCAACACAGTAAAAACTCGGCCACATAAAAAGATATTTTACAAGGATTTAGAAATGAACCAGTTCCTCACAGGCTGATCTTATCATGCAGCACAGACGCTACAAAAAGGGGCGGCATCAAATCTACTTCCCTCAAACTGAAAGATGGCAGGACTGATTAATCTCCTTTGGTATCGTTAGTAAAGCACGTCACACGCATATGAATATAATCAATGAAAGAAGATATGTTGGACAGAAACTGAACCATTGAAAAAAGTTCTCACAATAAAAGAATGTATCACATGAATGTGTAGATGGGTAAAATAACCATAATGATAATAAGAGAAATAAATGACAGATGTTTAGTAGAGCTGCAAAAATAAGTTGATTGTTCAATTTGAAAAGAAAATGAATTGCTTTAGTGACTTTTCAATCAAATAAACCAACAGTTCAAAGATATCTTTTATGACAGTTAAGTATCTTTAGGTTTTGGATTGAAGAATTGTGATGGTAGATTTCAAGAAGTGATTTTTGACGTTAAATAGACTAAAGGATTAATGAATTCATCGTAAAAAATTATCTGTAGATTAGGTGATAATCAAAATAATCTTTAGATTTAGGTATACTGTTGTGAACAAACAGGAAAACTATATGCGTGTTTATTGAACTTTATTTGTAAGGGTTTTCTAAGCAGATAGTGTGGTGTGCAGAAGCCATGTCATTGTAGGAACTAATGCTAATAATGTGCTTGTTCATGTTCATGATCAGCCGTCGCATTGTTTAACACTCCACAAATAAAAAAAAAGGAAGTAAACGCTCTAGTGTTCAGAATCAAGTTTGACATTTAAACTTTTCCTACTTTCAATCCAGTGTCCACCTCAAGGCTCTTTAATAAACCACTGGTTGCTTTAGGAACTTGGAACCATTTCAGAGGTGTTAAATAACAAAGCGGGAAAACAGATGGATGTGAAGTTCCTTCCGAATGAAGAATCAGACCGGGGGCAGAGGGGGGGAACCGGGGGGGAGGGGCAGCAGCACATGACATGGTCCTGAACTAACAAGATTTATATTAGCAGAAAAACACCAGCGCTCAACAAAAGCTATACTCATTCAATGTGGTGCGTGATCACTGTATGACACTTCAGCTGACTGTTGGCATGTGCAACAACTTAAGAAAATCCCCCTTTTTAAAATGTATTATGTATGTATGTATTATTTTTGCACTGCACTATTGTAGAGACACAGTGATAGGTGTGTCCGTTTGCCTCGGATGACGATGACGACAATGTCGATGAGGATGACAGCATTCCTGGTAGCTATCAGCTTTTATCCGATGAAGGTGTCGTTTTTCATTTATCTAATTTGTGGAGCATTGTGATCTTTCTGCCTTTTAACAGCTCTCTCCTGGCATATTTACTTCAGGATGTGCCTGATAAGGACTCCATTAGGCTGCCCTGTGCCATTTGTGTTGAACTTATCCAGACCCACCTGGTGTTTTTATATTGAATAAAGCCTCGAGTTGTCATGTTTCATTTTCTAAGTGCAAGGCAGTGCTGGTAGAAACAAACTTTTCTTCAATGCAAAGAAGGGATATAATGAAATGTAAAAACGGTACTTTTTGTTTTGCAACGGCTGCCGTCATGAAATATTATAAAATAGAAAGCAATGTGATATCTCTTAAAATAACATTTAGGAGACACTGGTGGTTGTATCTGGAAATGCTAATATAGCCGATTCAGCAACATTAACTAATAACATTTCTTAAGGCTTTAAGTCACTCATTTTGTCTAAAACCATATTCCAAGTCTCCTGTTTTAGGTCAGCAGAAAAGCAGGGGGGAATACATTCTCATTCTTTAAAGCTTAAGTAAAATATGAAAATAAATCTCTAAATCTGTTCTCAATCCTGCTTGTAATTTGTGCAATGTTTGCTAAATTTACTGCAAACCAGGGCACATGCAATGTAATCTTTGGGGTCAACCTTCATGCCCTCAACCAAACTCCCTCGACTGATGGATTGATCGCCTTCTTTCCCTCTGTAAATATCATCAATACTAAAATGGTATTAACTCAGAAAGTGATTACTGACATAATTCAATTGTAAGGCTCAAGTGCTTCCTGTCTTTTGATCCAATCACGTGAAAGCAGCAGTGTGGGACACGTCAGCAAAACTTCCGCTTTGTGCCTTAAATGTTCTCTTGTTTAACACAGAGGAAGTCTGCTTTAAAGTAAAAGAGAAGACTCTGAAGGACAATGCTGTATTAATAGATGGGAGGCGAGTCTGGCTGATCAGGTGGTTGAAGCAGTTCTCAGAGGAAGTAAAGTGATCTGGCACAAAGCAGGTAATTCTGGTTTTCCACACCGTGCTCAAAAGAAAACTAAATACCCGGCCCGCAGCACTGCTCCGCAAAATGTGTGGGCCGGTCATGCCCAGTAGGGGATGAAAGGTTATCGGATGTCTTGTAAGACGAGGATTGAGATAACGAAAGCCGTACAAGAACCAACTCACTCAAAGTTACAAGTAGAGAAGACGTGGTGAATAAAAAATGATAAACACTTGATTGTACAAAGAAAGTGTTTTTACTACTTGATCAGGTCATTTGTCCTCATTTTACATTTTTATAAACCAAATTCCAGAAGAAAGGATACCAATATAGGACAAATAAATCATTGTCAACCATCTTTTATTGACCTAGTAGCACAATTGTGAATCATCCCACTCAAATATAGGTTAGTAATCAGTTACCATCCGAGGGGGAGATATATCATGTGGTACAGACAATCAATGAGGGTCGCCACAGCTAGAGAGAATGGGGGGGAATGATAATTGATTATTGATGTGGTTGTAAATAAGAACAAATTGCCCGGGAGGTATGACCCCGCTAACACTGCGATTGTTGGGTTTTCTGTGAGGGCTTCCACTGAGTAAATCTGGCAAAGATGGAATTCCATCCCGGCTTCAGCCCGAGCCGTGGACTCCACTCTGCTAAAGAGGGGGTCAAACACACAAGGACCCATTGTTTACTGAAGATGAGGGTAGCCTCCACTCCACCCCCATCACATCCACATCATCACTGTAGAAGTAGGCAACAATGAAGAGAGAGAGAGAGAGAGAGAGAAAGGCATCACGTCGCCCTCTCATCCAGTTCTTTTACAGTGTTGCCAATCTAAATGCCAGGACAGCTTAGCCCTGAGCCATGCCTGCGTTCTCAAAGTTCGCACAAGCCCATGAGATCCTGATGAATCCCATAAAGATGATCCATAAATCTGTCTGATGACGGCTGCAGGAACTGTTAAACAGAGACGGGGAGAGAGAAAGGGGCAGCCCCAGTGCGACAGATGAGATAACAATACTGAATCTGTGATGAAAACCCCAGACTGACAACATTCCTCTGTTTTTGGCCTCCAGTCCGACTGCACGCTGCATAAATAAAAGCCTCAAACTAGACCATATGTGCACTTCTGACGCCCTCCATCAATCTTACCACTCCGAGCTCCATTAAGGACAAAGCTTAAAAAAAGCTTCAAACCCCTCAGAGGGGCCGGGTTACAGTAGCAGAAAGAGCAGACTGGCAGCTACCCTACGCTGCTGAGAGATTTAGAGGAGTGGCCACACTGGCCTGGGATATTTAAGACGGTAACCATGCTGGCAGGTCTCTTTGAGCCCTTTGTGTTGCTCTCTCAGCTCCTTTGGCGGAGCAGGGAGGTTGACACCTGCTCGGGGCCTTGGGGTTCCCAGCACTGTGCTGTTAGCTGGGCACAGACTTTGGCAGGCTTCACACTGAGGACAGAGGAGGGAGGGGGGGGGGGGACTGGAGCTCTGCCTATCTGTGCACAAGAACTGTGACTGGGTTAGAAAGTCTAAGCGAGAGAAAAAACTTCAACTGGAAAAGCATTTCATGACTACGCAGCAAATAAATCAAATAGGGATGTGACAACCATTTCATTTGGATTGTAGCCGGTCATTATAATAAATCACTGTATAATCACATTTTAACACTGGGTGGGGATTTCGCGGCTACTCGCTTATTGTCTTTTTTTAAATGTATTGTACAGGCTACAGACACAAAACATGGACATTACAATAACAAAAAGAGACAT